AAATACACAGTGAGAGATTATGAGGACTTCAGCGCTGGTGTTATAAAGTTTTCATTATTGTTGGGTGGTTCGTATAATAGTAGCTCATGGATTCCACATGGACAACTAGCCAGTACTGCAGTTTTCGATTCTTGCAGTTCTAAAGTATGTCTCCAAGTATATTCTCCTTGACAAATACGATCATAGCGGTTGTGGTGGTGATGTGCTCGTAAGTGTTCCTAGATTACGTTTGTCACCAACACTGTTATCCATAGACAACATTTTATTCAATTTTTCTGAACTTAGGAAGGGTCTTTTCTAGAGTTCTTGATACTTTTGAAAGTTTCTCTATCAAATTTCATCAGTTTAAACTCAAGATGTTGCGTGTGCGTATGCTTGTGTGTGAGAGAGATAGAGAGATACAGAGAGAGGGGAACTGATTGCTTCAATTTGAATTTTTGCAAGGAAAGGTTTCATTGATGAGCCAAATAGGGATTCACCAGCTTCATATATTCATATTTGTGTTAGCAGTTATGCAGATTGTTTACAGCGTTCTCACCATGGCTTTCGGTAGGGCCAAGTTATTGATATTTTTCAGTTCAATGTTAGCATTTGGGTTATATTTTGGGTTTTTCCTTTCAATTCTTCAGTTTTAATTGTTCGACTAATATAACTATATTAGTACCGTACTAAAAGTTACGATATTTAAAAATGAAGTTACAGTTCATAATGGTGTAAGTTACAACTCAAAATGGTTTGAGTTGCAATTCAAAATATTATGATTAAAAATCAAATTACACATTACAAAAGTGCAATTACAGGGGTAATTTAAAATAGATCATATTATTTTATGATGGATCACAAGTTACTTTAATCGGTTGTAGCTAAAATATTGCTTCCATGATTCACTTTTTTGGCTAGTAAAAAAAAAATAATAGGGATTTTCTTTTTTAATCAGTAATTTTTTTTAGTTGTACTGTACCTTCAGACACGGGTTAACCCTAGTATATATAATAAAGTAGCTAAATTTTTTTGTCTTTTGCTTTTCGTGACTCAGATCGTTTTGATTAGATAGTCCTAATTAGACTTAAATTTATTTTACAATTCTAAGACTTTCATTTGCCATAAAACTCTTTGTATCTATCTATCTTATATTCCCTCTCATACTATTATCTTTTTTTTTTTGTTTCTTTAATTTTGGTTTTGTTATTATTTACCCCATAAAACAAATAAAACAACATCTTATACAATTATTTATTTCATGAAACTAATTTAAAATTTTTATATATATAACGACATGTATTTTGCCACTTGCTTTTTAATTTATAAATAACACTTAATATAAATAAAAAATAGCACATTGACTCTAAATATCAAATAATATTTAACACAAAGTAAACCTTAGATTGTAAATCAATATATAATTTTATTAAAAAATTGACATTCAATTTTTTTCAATTTATAGTAAACTTTGTCGAATTAATATCAAATTAATTTTTATTTTTATCAAATTAATATTATAATTCATTTAATTAATTTTTTGGAATACTAAATTATATCAATTTTTGGGTACTAAATCAAATTTTATTTGATTTTATTAAATTTTTAATTTTTTTGCACTAAATTTGAATAAGGGAAATTGNACTAAATCAAATTTTATTTGATTTAATTAAATTTTTAATTTTTTTGCACTAAATTTGAATAAGGGAAATTGTAAAAATAATAAATTTTTTTTGAATGAAATTATCAATTTCCGTTCGAAACATTAAGGAAGATTGATAGACGAGGTCTCCGTGCAATGAATTCTGTTAGCAACATTATGGAATTCAAAACTCAAGGGTTGTCCATGATTTTTACCATTTTTCTAATTAAACATTAATTTATTATTATTTTATCTTAAAAACTTGAACAACTATTGGTTTGAAGAGTTTGTTGTTAACAAAAAAAGAAATGTGTGTGGGTGTATTTAGTGATTTAATTTATAATTATATTGTGTCATTTGGGGTTGAATGGTGATAGTGACGATAAATTCATGAGTTTTATATGTAAATAAGATTTGGTTGATTTTATTTATCGTTTAAAGATTGTGAATATAATTGTGTTATGTTAGTATTTTTTTTTTTTAACTTGGGGTATTTATTATATGGGAATAAGGTGAATTGAAAATATGGTGGTTGAGTTTATAATTATATTATATTATTGGATTGAGTAGTAATGAAAGTCATAAATTCGTGAGTCTTATAAATGAGTAAGATTTTATTTATTACTTAAAAATTATAAATTTCAATGAGTTATGTTAGTATTTTTTTAAGAGGCAATTATATATATGATATTGTTTTGAGAAGTTTTTATATATTTTTATGACAGTTCTATTAATATAGAAGATACGGTTCACGATATATTTCGAGTCATTTTAAAATAAGAATTGATATGAATATTTTAGGCCATTCTTTTTAAATTTGGATAATTGTTTAGAATTTTTTATTTATTGTATAATACCTTCAAGCATGGGCAATGACTATAGTCATAACCTATATATGAAAATTTATATAATAAAGTAGAACGAAGTTTGAATCCAAAAGACAAAGAGAGGTCCAGATTGTTTTGTGACAAAACATAAACACATCCAACGGACAACGTAATACCAACATAAAAGACGGTTCAGATCGATTTAATATTATTGATACGAAGATCCTAATTAATCTACATTCCAACAATACTCAACTACATTTCTTTTATCTCTCCTCATCTTCATTCAAAACATTGGAGAGATTGACTAAGACTTTACTACATTCTTTTTATCTCTCATCATTCCCATTTTAAATTATTGAAAAGTTTGATTTAGACAATTGTATATCTATATATATCTATCTACACTAACAATATAGAGACAATTTTAAATTTTCAAAATTAAAATTAATACTCTCAATTTTTTTTTTTAAAAAGAGAGAAGAACAACTAAGATTTAATTAAAATTTAAATATATGATTTAGATATCATCAAAATTCATCTAATCTAATCTTACCCAAATATTATATATGTATAAAAAATTGACTAATTATAAACAATGTAAAAAGTGAAACAAATTGTCAATTTTATAATTAAAAAATATCAATTATTCACTAACAATCTATTAAATTTACTCAATAAACGATGTTTTAAACATTATCACTAAAATATTAGTATAATAAAACTATTAAATTAAAATCTAAGAGACATAGTAAAAAAATTAAAAATCAATTGGCACATAATAAAGATTATAATCAATACTCAAATAAAAATAAAAAGATAATTTTTCGTAGAAAAAACAAAATCAAATGAAAATCAATTGAAGGCACTTTCACTTACAAAAATTCATAATAAAATGAAGGTCATCTGAAGAAAGTCATATTATAATAAAAAGACTAAATAATTATATATATGTGTATAATTTTTAGAATATATATATATTTCATATTTTTAAAATAAAAAATTAAAGATGGGCCCGTGTCCACCCTCGCTCCTGTGTAGCTTTGTCCAAGCATGTCATTCTATATCTATCTATCTATATCTATATCTATATGATCCTAATTGAATTTTTATTTCTTTTATGTCTCTTTCTCTTACACACACTCTCATCTCTCATATAACTCTATCTTTCTGAGAGTTTGGCTTGGACGACTATATATATATATCTAATAATAATATAATACATCTAATACCCTAATCTCTCTTTATATCATATTTTCATTTCTCATAAGTTTATCACATCTCTCATACAACTCTATCTCTGTATATTCGCCAACACACACATGTCAATATCGACTCTTACAAAAAAAAGAAGATATTTTTTTAGGTATAATGATTAAATATATAAATTGTGTACATGTTGATATTTTTTAGGAATTGTGTTTTTAAAGAAATGTTGTCAAAAATTTTAAAAAATATTTTAAATTCATTTTGATTTGTGTAACTAAAGAAAATAATAAATAAATAAAGTTTTTTTGAAATATTTATATTGCATAACCGGTGATCGAGATTTTTTGAGTTGCTTAGTGCCTTCAGACACAAGTTATTACTAGTAGATATATATGAGAGATAAATAACAAGAGCAATGCTATTTAGACATAATTTGAGGACATATTGAGTTGTTACCAATGAAATGATGCTAAATTTATTTAATGTTACAATGTGACCAATCATTAAATATATTTCACTATCATTTCATTTGTGACAACTCATTATGTTCCTAAATTATGTCAATAAATTATGTCCCAATAGCATTAATGAAATAATTTTAATATTAGTCAACCTCCTAAAATTTAGGAGTTCTTAGCTTTTAGTTTTGTTTCACTTCTAAAAAGAACGTATAATATGGTAAAATTGACAAAAAATAAATTTCATAACAAATAAGTTTCTTTGGCGGATTTAAGTTCAAATAAGTCCATATAGAGGACCGACCTCTAAATTTTTCATAATTTTATTACCCTTACAAACCAAGATACACGCTTTCGTATAAAAGTTACACAATATGCAAACTTTTGTAATCAATATTTATTTTATTATTTTTAATTTAATACCTTATGCTATTACTTAATCCAACCATAAATTTAATATTATAATTATAAATTTATATCTTATCTCAACATTTTCTTATTATTATTATTTATATAAATTCTTTGTTTATACTCAAACTAAATGTACCCTTAATTCATACATATACCATAGTTATGATTATGTGACCCCTCAATCAAAAAACAAAGAGGTCAAAAGAAAACGAGAAAACATCCATCATTTTCCCCACATCAAAATAAAGTGTAAGTTCTTATATTTCTCCTTGGTCAAAAAAAAAAATAAAGTAATAAAGGGCAAACCAACAAGCATTGGAAAACCTATGACCCACACCACACCTTCCTCTCGGGCCCCACCAAATAATTGGGCCCAATACACACACTCCTCTTACATCTACGGACCCAAACAACCTCTCTCTCTCTTTCTCTCTCTCTCTCTCTGTGCCACCCACACACACCACACCCCAGTCTATGGCCGTTCCAAAACCCAAACCCTCCGACTCACCACGGATCTACTACCACCATCTCCCTCCAGAAGACCGACCCCAGAATTACGTCATCATATTACCCAACCACTCCTCAACTCATCGCCGCCGCCAACGGCAGCGGATCATTCTCTGCACCACCACTCTCCTCCTCGCCGCCTCCGTCATTTACCTCCTATGGCCCTCCGACCCATATCTCTCCATTGTCCGCCTTCACCTCGACCGCCTCAAAATCCGCACTCGCCCACTTCCTTGCTTGGACATTACATTAGACCTCATCGTCAAAGTCCGCAACAGAGATTTTTACTCAATTGATTACGATTCCCTAACTGTTGCCGTTGGGTATAGGGGAAAGCAGCTAGGGTTCATCACATCTGATAATGGGCACGTCAAAGCTAGAGGGTCTTCGTATATCAACGCTACGCTTGTGCTTGATGGTGTTGGGATTCTGTCTGATGTGATTTTTTTGCTTGAAGATTTGGCTAAAGGTTCTGTTCCGATCGATACGGTTACCCAGGTCCGAGGTCAGCTCGGGTTGTTCTTCTTTGAATTTCCTCTTAATGTAAGTCTATTATTTGATAAATTATTATCCATAATTGCAATGTTGGATTTGTAGTTACAAAAACACCATGAACCACGGAGAAGACGACGGTGTCGGAAAAAAAAAATTTAATATCCTACCTCGTAATTTTACAACATTAAGATCATCTCTAATCCTTACCTTTTTTTTTAAACTCAAATGGTTAAAGAACTCTAAAATATACCTTCTTCAATATTAGATCTATTCGAATCAAATCAAAAGAGACTCAATTTGTCACTTAACTTAATGGAGACTCATTTTTTTATTCAACTCCGGAGAGACTCAAATTTATCATCGAATAGTAGTAAGATTTATCATCCTTTAAAGATCCACGAATTATATTTTACTTTCTTTTAAATTTGAATTTCTCTTTTTTTATATTTAAATTTTTCCGAAAATATCTATATCAAATCATATTTTTTACCATTTTTTTATTCAATTTTGGGTAAGAGTTTGGTTCCATTAGAGATGGTCTAATGAGTGTTTTTATAACTTTTTATGGGTTCATTTTTACAACCAAAAAAATTTATAACTTTTATTGGTATTTTTACAATTTTTATGAGGGTTTTTATCATTTATATAGTAATTGTTTTTACCACTTAAAATTTTGCAAAAACACTCACAAAAGTTGTAAATGGCGATATGGTACTGAATTCCCATGAACCATTAGTTCTCGTATTTTTTGAGGTTACTTCTAAATTATGAAACAAGGAAATTTGAAGTCGGCATATCCATATTGAATAATATACTCAGAGGATACTCTATAATATGCATCGGATACACCTATTACTTATTCAATATTAATAAAATATTTGGATAGTCCGCGGATACTTTTATATTCGAGTAACGTGTATAATTTTTGAATTTAATCTTTAACATCTTCTTTTGAATTCACATAATATATAATAATACATCTACAAAAATTCATATTAATTTGAAGACACCTGTTTATTTTTCATGTATTATTTATTATTATATGTCAAAATAACATAAAATGAATATATTACAATATAATCTTAGTAACAAATACTTCTAAACAAACCAACTAAATAAATATTAGTTTTCATTCCTTTAATTAGTCATTTCACTTTGTAAATATATTATGATGATACGATATATACTTCTTTGAATCTTAAACATTTGCTAATTTTTCTAATTATGCTAAAAAATTACCACATAATAAAAATGGTTAATTGTAAGTTGCACCCTGAAAGATAATTGAAATTTTAATTTGCACTCCCAAATATCAAAAATCTCAATTTACACCCTCAAAAATAGAAATTTTTATTAATGTGCACCCCCAAAGATAAAAATCTCAACCTGCACTCTCAAAGATAGAAATTTGTATTAATGTGCACTTAAAACTAAATTGATAAATTATACCTAGATTCTCTCATACTTGTCACTTAATTATTTGGACCCTTTCACATTTAGAATATTATTCCTACATCTCATAATGTTTGTGCACGTGTAACACGTAACTCTCTTTTATTGATATCTGTTAATATAACCGTTAAAAAATATAATTTTATCCTAATGAAAAATTATAATGTCCAATGATAAACTTGATTTTGAACTTTAGNCACTCTCAAAGATAGAAATTTGTATTAATGTGCACTTAAAACTAAATTGATAAATTATACCTAGATTCTCTCATACTTGTCACTTAATTATTTGGACCCTTTCACATTTAGAATATTATTCCTACATCTCATAATGTTTGTGCACGTGTAACACGTAACTCTCTTTTATTGATATCTGTTAATATAACCGTTAAAAAATATAATTTTATCCTAATGAAAAATTATAATGTCCAATGGTAAACTTGATTTTGAACTTTAGAGTATGTCGAACCTACAAAATGAAGGGTAATATGAAATTATAATTTTTTATTAGGATAAAATCATATTTTTTGTCGGTTAAATTAACAGATATCAATGAAAAGGGATTACATGTTACACGTGCACAAACGTCATGAGATGTAGGAGTAATATTCTAAATGTGAAGTGGTCCAAATGATTAAGTGACAAGCATGAGAGGATCTAAGTATAATTTATCAATTTAGTTTTAAANTGTCGGTTAAATTAACAGATATCAATGAAAAGGGATTACATGTTACACGTGCACAAACGTCATGAGATGTAGGAGTAATATTCTAAATGTGAAGTGGTTCAAATGATTAAGTGAAAAGCATGAGAGGANGGGATTACATGTTACACGTGCACAAACGTCATGAGATGTAGGAGTAATATTCTAAATGTGAAGTGGTCCAAATGATTAAGTGACAAGCATGAGAGGATCTAAGTATAATTTATCAATTTAGTTTTAGGTGCACATTGATACAAATTTTTATCTTTGAGGGTGTAAATTGAGATTTTTTTTTTTTGGTGCAAATTAATACAAATTTCTATCTTTAAGGGTTGAAATTGAGATTTTTGATCTTTAGGGGTACAAATTGAAATTTTCACTATCGTTTTGGGGTGCAACTTACAATTAACCCAAATAAAAATATGAAATAGATTTTATTATAGTCGTATTTTAACTGCATCGNAATGCACATTGATACAAATTTTTATCTTTGAGGGTGTAAATTGAGATTTTTTTTTTTGTGCACATTAATACAAATTTCTATCTTTAAGGGTACAAATTGAGATTTTTGATCTTTAGGGGTACAAATTAAAATTTTCACTATCTTTTGGGGTGCAACTTACAATTAACCCAAATAAAAATATGAAATAGATTTTATTATAGTCGCATTTTAACTGCATCANCACTATCGTTTTGGGGTGCAACTTACAATTAACCCAAATAAAAATATGAAATAGATTTTATTATAGTCGTATTTTAACTGCATCGTACTTATTTTTTTAGATTTTGTTGGCATATTAGCATTATATTGTATCTATATCCGTATTCGTGTTTCATACTTTCTAAAAAATAGGGTCATATTTAGAAGTAATACTGAGATATGAATTTATTTGAACCACTAGTTCTCATATTTTTTCTGTTGATGAAACTAATGTTGAGGTTCATCTTTTGTTAAGAGTAATACTGAGATGTGAATTTTAGTGATCGAAAAAATGTAATGGATTTAGAAGCATATGCGGAATGTGATTTTAGTTAATTGTGTACTAATAATTTGGAGTGATAATGAAGGTAGATGGCTAAGAGAAACCCATGAATATTTTTTGGGTAAACCATTAAGCAGCAGAGTTTGAAGATTTGATGTGGAGAAGTGCTCTTTGGGTGNATTTTAGTGATCGAAAAAATGTAATGGATTTAGAAGCATATGCGGAATGTGATTTTAGTTAATTGTGTACTAATAATTTGGAGTGATAATGAAGGTAGATGGCTAAGAGAAACCCATGAGTAATAATTTTCAATATTTTTTGGGTAAACCATTAAGCAGCAGAGTTTGAAGATTTGATGTGGAGAAGTGCTCTTTGGGTCTCTGTCTAGTTATTGATTTACTTGCCTAGTTATTAGGTGCAGTCCGGTGAACCCTTGTCCTGGCTTAGGAAACTTGTAAATAACTACACAATAGAAAATGATTCCGTGAGCAATGCTTCTAAAGCTACAAGAATTTAAGAAGGAATATATCNCCATTAAGCAGCAGAGTTTGAAGATTTGATGTGGAGAAGTGCTCTTTGGGTCTCTGTCTAGTTATTGATTTACTTGCCTAGTTATTAGGTGCAGTCCGGTGAACCCTTGTCCTGGCTTAGGAAACTTGTAAATAACTACACAATAGAAAGTGATTCCGTGAGTAATGCTTCTAAAGCTACAAGAATTTAAGAAGGAATATATACTTGCTTAAAATGTTATTCTCAATCTCTTGCTTTAAGCTTAAGAGCACTAACTTTGCTTCAATGAAATGTGAAGGATGTCTGTAGGAATTTATGATTAGAAGTTTAATTGTCCAATAGATTTGTGCTGTCTGTTGGTGCAAGTACAATGGTTAAACATTGCACAGTTAGAACACGAGAGGATCAAGCTAGCCTTGGTGGAATTTTATTACAAGGGTTCCACTGAGCTGGCCCTATCAGCGCCAACTTCTGACTGCTTGCATGATCTATTGTTATTCACTCCATAAAACACCCGAACGAGAACTAAAATAAGCAGATAGTCTTTACCAACTGCCTTGGATGAGTTTTCTGGCAGAAGAGTGGTATGCAATTGGGTGGCATAGACTTAATAGTTCCTACTTTGTGACATACTTCTATGCATAAAAAATGCTGTGCACACACAAGGATCAAACTTTCGCTTTGAAATGGTTGAAACTTTCGAAATGTTTTCGTTTCAAAAGAGACCGTAACGAATTGGTGATAGAATCAAAATTCTAATATTTTGAGGTATTCCATAATGTTTTGAGATATATTGTAATATTTCAATGTGTTTGCACAGTTGTTTCGGAATGTTTCAATGTATTTAAGATTTTTTGATATATTTTGACCAATATTTTGAAAAAATAATTCTTGAATTTTTTTATTTTTCATTATGTTTTCAAAACGGATCGAAACGTTTTGTTTTCCTAGATGACTGAAACAATACACCGAAACAAAATTTGAATCCTTATGCACACACATAAATATCACTCACTTTCTTGCGATGCGTTATTCCGATCAAATACTTGCTGTGAGTTGGCCTGTTAGTATTTAGTAATCCGAACTTGTGAATTTTGATTTCACTCATTTTTCATATCTTCCCATTTTGAAGATCATCATTTCTTATTTTTTATTCACTCATTTTTCATATCATCATTTCTTATTTCTGTATAATTCATTCAACAGGCAAAGGTGTCATGCGAAGTCTATGTAAATACGCACAACCAAACTGTTTTCCGTCAAAATTGTTATCCTGAGGTAAGACATCGCTTCTCTTCTGAGCAAGCTAAATCGATTTGTTTCTGAGCTTACTTACATAATTAAAAAGCTATTCTTGAGCTAAAATATAATCGGCCTTCCCCATCTAACCTCGTATCTATTACTAACCATAATGTTTGTCTGCTCAGTGATGACATGGGAGGTGGAGCTGCGGTAGAAGCAGGGGTCAACGTTGCTCTGGAACCCTATACGTATATGCTCCTTCGTAGAGATGTTGGGTTATGTGAATATGGAAGTTGATTACCCGACTGGTCGTGTAAATATATCACCAGGAGGATCATAGTTGTGGGAAACATTAGCTAAATATAATATATATATATATTACACATACGTAATCTTTTTCATCAGAAATCAATTTGATGTTCGAATGAGCTGTTCTGATAAAGTTCTTTACAAAGACTTGGAAGACAGGGAGACGGAGAGAAGCTTATTTTTTACTCAACACAAATTGATTTGGGTGACAATTGATTTGTGTTGTGTTTGTAAGATCTTAGAAAGTGAAAGAGCATCATTTTAGCAGCAGTAGAGACAAAAAAACATACAGTACACAGGGCTGGGCCAGATGTGATTGATTATTACTTCGAATGAAACATTACTTACAATCTGGGTTTGGCCCCCAGTCGACCAACCCATTTATATTCTGTATGGTGATGCCTACACTTGAATGAACCTGGGTGGCGCGTGGGTGAACATACACACTGGTTCATCACACCACCACCTGCACCTCCACCTCCACTAGCTATTCCATGTATGTCAACTGGTGCTTGTTGCCTCCCAACCTCTTCCACCGCCGTTGCTGCCTGCAACACCAATCCCCTACCTTGATGCCCTGATGACTCAATTAAACAAACCCAATAAACAGCTGGGTAACACATCTTTTCTTCTAAGAAGAAATGATTGGGATTGAACAAGAGGGTAAGTACTTAAAAGGAAGAACAAGAAAATATAGGGTATAACAAAAAGCTTTGGATTTGAATCACAGAAAGGGATTGCTTTTCTCTTTAGCTTTGCTATTGGGCTGGGCGTTCAATACCCACGCGCTATCTGTGGGTGGTGATAAAATAGTGATGAGATTATGGGGGATGAGGCTTATCTGCAGAGAGGGAGAGAGAGAGAGAGAGAATCTTGCAGTCATTGTCGACACTTGGCCTTAGTATTGGTACCTATGACCAAATTTCGTGGTGACGCGCCAAACGAAGGTTCCAACCACTTGTTAATGTTTTGTTGGTGTCCAAAGTTTGGGAAGTTCGAAAATGATATTGCAAGAAAAATTGCCAAATTTTGTCCTTAGTTTTGGCATATTACTTGCTCTGTCTGTGTGTGTGTGTGTGAGAGAGAGAGAGAGAGAGACAGACAGAGTTTTCTTAATTGGGAGGAATTTCGTGGAGTAAGATAAACGGTAGGTTTCCTAGTTTGTAGGCAGCTGACAAAACAATGATATGTTCTTCCCTGTAATCAGTCTTGATCTAGCTGAGTATGGGTGGGTGTTTATGGGCCGGAACGGGTTAGGCCCGCAAAAGTTTTTTTGTTCGGACTTAGGTAGTGTAGTTTTAAGTGCTTATCCAAGTGAGTTATCGACTGGGTCGAGCAAGACTTCAAGTAGGGGTAAGCTATCCGTAACCCAATTCGTGAGTCTATTGGGTGGACTTGTGGATGGACTTGCTCAAGAGTTTTTTTATATATAACTTTATTTAAAAATAGTAAATATTTTTTTAATTTAATATTTTTGAATTAAAGTAGAGTCAAAATGGATAAAAATAAAATAATAAATAATTTTATTTTTGAACTATATCCCATAGAATGAATACATTAAAATTAGATTGACACCTACTCACTTATCTATCATTTAAAATTTATATATTTAATACATGAAAAAAAAATATTATTTATAATATCTAAATTTTTAAAACTTCAAATTCTGACATTGAAAGACTTATTTCAAAGTTTTAAATTTAAGGGTTTAAAAATATAATTATTTTTCCAAAGAAGGGTGGACGGGCTGGGCTTACTAGGTTGGTGGACTGATGGGCTGGGCTTTTAACAGGTTTTTTGGGTGGGTTATTGGGACGAACTTTGAGTTGGGTAATGGGTTTGTGGGCAAACTCAAGNCCTACTCACTTATCTATCATTTAAAATTTATATATTTAATACATGAAAAAAAAATATATTATTTATAGTATCTAAATTTTTAAAACTACAAATTCTGACATTGAAAGACTTATTTCAAAGTTTTAAATTTAAGGGTTTAAAAATATAATTATTTTTTCAAAGGAGGGTGGACTGGCTGGGCTTAGTAGGTTGGTGGACTGATGGGCTGGGCTTTTAACAGGTTTTTTGGGTGGGTTATTGGGACGAACTTTGAGTTGGGTAATGGATTTGCGGGCAAACTCAAGTTTTTTTTTTTAAAGATATTGAACTCGGGCAGGCCAATTATTAGGCCTATTGGGTTTCGGGCCGAATAATAGGACTCATTGGTAACCCGACCCATAAACACCCCCTTATAGTTGATTTTAAATTTTGGTATTTTTTTAAGTCAAATTATAAGAAATTTATTCTTTATAATTATTTTAGTTTTGATGTGAATGATTTAGTTTTGACGTGAATGGTCTGTTTTTAATTGTACCAAAAAAGTGATTAGTTAAGATACGAATAAACTGACCTGAATATTNTGGTCTGTTTTTAATTGTACCAAAAAAGTTATTAGTTAAGATACGAATAAACTGACCCGAAAATTTCTAATCATTAGCATAAAAAAGAGAAGAAAAAGTCTTGACATTCCTTAGCTTTTATTTTTGGTATCCCAACCTGTGCCAATTCCTTACGAGATAGCTAGAGATATGAACAGTTTAGCTCGATCGAGAGATCAATTCAAATCACAAAAACATTTTGAACTCAACTTGAACTCAGTTGAACTTGACTTATAAATAATTAAAATTTTGTGAAAATTGAATGTGATTCACGAATTACACAAATTATGACCTGAATTTGAGTTTTATTCGGCTTGAATATAATTTTACACAACAGAGAATTTGTGTTCAATCGGAGCTAAATCTAAACTCATTAATTTAGGATGATTTTCTAGAACCCAATATGCTAGTTCCGGTAAGGTTTCAACTGAAAATGAATTAGGACTTTCTAATCAGGCCCAATGCATATATTAAAAATTATTGTCCTGAACTTAGTTTTTTTTAATTAAATCCAGATTGAACCCTCCAAATTACACCCGAGAGAGAGAGAGAGAAAGAGAGAATCTGTTACACATCGTATGTATTTTTAACGTATTTTAGCTGGAGTAGCATCATCCTCAGGCAAGGCGCTGGTCACCGGTTATAACTTGTACGTCCGGTGCACTCCATGGGAAAGGGTGTACCGTGTACCCCTCTACATCCGACCCGTCTATGGTCTACTCAATTGGGATAATCCCATTTTGGCATTTTTCAATGACTAATGTTATTTGGATCAAAAAATTTAATATAATTTATAGACTTAATGATGTGATTTTATTGAAATTATTGGATCAACATCAAATTTCAATGTTTGATGGACCTTACAGTTAATCCAAAGGTCATAGTGAATTAAATCAGTAAATTAGATCAATAAATTATGTTCTAATAAAATTGCACTTTTCTAATAAGTGCTTTCAAATAACAAAACACCTTTTTTTTTCCATCTTTTACTTTTTTCTTTACCTTTATCTCCTTTTGAAGGTTAAAAGTAGTAATCAGCTGTTCCCAATCCTTCTTAAGCCCACTCCAATGGCCTCCTAAGCCCCCCATGGTAGGTGACTTAATTGGAAAAACAAAACTAGCAAAAGTACAACCTACTATGCATAATGTGCAATGCATTGTTCATTGTATTTGTTTTTTTGTTTCAACCGTCTGAGTGTTTGGGTTAATTTATAAATATCTTGATTAATTTTTTTATCAATTTGATCAAAAATAAATTATTTATGTTGAAATTAAAATATTTATGAGAATTTATTCCTCAAGATCTGACCTAAAAGACTTATCAAAATTANGTCAAAATTAAAATATTTATGAGAATTTATTCCTCAAGATCTGACTTAAAAGACTTATCAAAATTATAAAAAAAAAAGATAATTGAATGCTTTAGCAATATGGGAGCATTACATATGGTTTAGGAACAAATTTTTTTCTAAAGTCAATCTATTATTTGGATAAGATTAAGCTATTCTCCAATTCTTTTTGAATGAGTGAGATTGATCTGAAGTAGCAATTCTTGTCATATTTTAAAAATATATATTTTTTTTATTTTGAAAATTTGAAAAGAATTAAATTTGTTCATATCGATGAATTTTGGCAATTGAAAATAATTGAAGAATCCTTTAATTACCTTTCTAATTGAAGAGATGATCGACCGGGTGATAAAAAGGTCTGTAAATCACATGTCCAAGGCCCATTCACGATTTGTTAATTGCCAGTCAACTCTCTTTAATGCCTGGAAGTATATAATGATTTAGTAATTTACTATTAATCTGATTATGGCAATACCCACGATGAGTCACGCCAAATGACAAATTTACCCCTGAAAAAATCACATTCTCCCTCCCAATTGGACCTTTTTTTACTACTCACATGTCCAGCACTGTAATTCTAAATCAGACAAAGACATCATTTTNACAAGGTGTGTAGGCAAGATAACGAATCATGCTGTTGAGAACCAATATAAATAAGTGGTCCATTAATACCAACAGATTTGTCCAGAAAATAGAATTCATAAAAACATGTGCCGTTGAGAACCAACAATGGAATTTCTAACCTCCATTAATGATAACCCTTAACTACTTGTAAATGATTTGAATAAATTTTTTTATTTTAATTGAGATTTGGTATGTGGTATGAGTATTACAGATTCACATCTTCTCAATATAGTACTAGATTCCTCACGATGGATCGGTAAAAAATCGACTTAGAGGGTTCTACTTAACTTAGATCTCTGAAAATATTTCATTTTCATGCTAATTTGGATAGCATTGAAATGAAGGCTTAATGGTGGATTCCAGCTCGACTTGTAAGTCAAAACATAAATAGTCCAAATCTGTTACTTGGTCCCCCCATTCATTCATTGAATTCCCTTTATCTTACCAACAGGGCTCATCATGTCTAGCCAATCTAGGAGATTCAAATCAGTAAGGCATGAAAAATCATACCCAACCCATCCTAACAAGTCACTAATACCACCAACTTCATTTATGTTCGGAGTACAGGATGTCCTCGTGAACATGTCTCCTCCACCTCCTCCACCGTCTAAGGTTGAAAGTATCAATTGATACCGATATAAGTTGTTTGAAGTATATCCAATTCGACATATTTTAAGACAACAACATTTCACATTAATTATAAATTTCAAGTTTCAAATGGATTAGTCAAGTCGTGCCGAATCAACATCTTTTAAGACGATACGTAAATCTCACACGACTTGGCAAGTCATTTGAGACATCTTCGAGTCAACTTCGAGTTATCAACACAATTTTTAATACCGTTTTATGACGTCGTGATATGACTTGAATCTCCTGTCATTCTTAAAATTTTTTGTTCCGGCTGTCTCACCCAATGTTGTTTGTTGCTTTATGACGCTACAGTTAATTGTCTTAAAGCCCTCCAAATCGATATGGGGATAGGAAGTGAAAATTCTTTATATACGTAATCATTGCCTACCTTATCTTGACTTTTTTCCATTGTAAGTTGGAGCAACCCATTATCGGCAAACGGAATCTGCATCATTTTTTCTTTTTTGTTCCCCATGTTCTTGATATTTGTTATGAGAAGAGTTGAATTCTATCTCAAACAACAAACATCGAATCATCCTCCCCATAATAAATGCAGCATTTAAAGGGTTTGGTGTATTATACTAGAATCAAACCTCTTCTGTCATGATCTCGTTTTGACAGACTAGGCAAGAAAGATTATAATACACTAGGGTGTGCAGTGTAGACAAGTGATAACCAATCCTGCTGCTTTATTTGACTATGAATATTTTTTTCTAGAAGTTATACTAAATGAATTGTCAGAACCTTAAAAATGGACTGTTACCACCAGATTTGTCCAGAAAAGTACAGATAAACATGTGCCGAAGAGAAACAAAATGATTTTTTTGAGCTACGCTGGCTTAATGATTACCGCTCCGTCGTTGGACTTTAAAGTAAGTCGTGATTCGAACTTCATCCCATTCCTCCCTGTAATAATGTCTGCCCCCCCCCCCCCAAAAAAAAAAAAAAAAA